CCCCCCCTCCTATCGAACCTCTTAATAAATGAGGATTTAAAAATCATTTTCTAAAACTAAAGTTATGAAATATTTTTAAAATTAAAATATCTTGTCACCCCAAAGATGTGTACTGTTGAAGTTCACAACATCACCCTTTTATTTTGCTTCCGGTCTGTGCCATCATAAAATACATATGAAGGGATAGATCAATATCAAATTCATATCTATATAGATATATAAATAGATAGATATATAGATAGATGTAATAAAAACAGAAACCCCATAGTAAATCTAGATAAAATACGTTATACATTGTCCATATAGCTAAATGTGCTCATTTGTAAATCAATAAATCAAGAATTGCGATTAAACCAATCAAGACACACAGCTATATATATATTACTCTGTCATACCCATATTAAGATTGCTTAACTACATTATTTATATAATAGTGCAAATCTTGTAATTACCCTGTTAATACCTAACTCTAATCTAATATGAAGAAATATATTAAGTTGATATAGAAACTCCAATTTATTGATCAATTACTAGCTAGTGTAGTGTTAACATCGATATCTGACAAGATCGCGCCATTTGGTTTGGCCTTAATAGAATATGAACTAGTTTCTGGTTGACATCGATAGCCCATGAGAACGCTCCCGGTGGTTTGGCATTGATCCATTAATAGCTATTGTTCTTGTTGACATTGATAGCTGACAAGACCACGCTCATTATGCATGGTTTTGGCGTTGATAGAATACAAGCTAGAGTGTCTGGTTGACAGCGATAGCTCATGAGATTGTATCTGGGTTTAGCATTGATAGCTAAGTGAAACTTAATTGTAACTGGATAGATACATGTTCGAGAACCCTTCTTGGAGTAGGGCATTTAATTCATAGACAGAATAGATATATAGATAAATAGATTGATAGAAAGATAGATAAAAAGACAGATATATAGACTGATAGATAATTGCATAGATAGATAGATAGGCAGATAGATAGATAGATAGATAGATAGATAGATTGATGGATAGATATTTTGGAATAATAAATCAGTTGATGTTCACTCTACAGAATGTTCACAGTTCTACTTATATTGGTAAAAATAAAATGTTTTCAAAACATTTCTCATACAGTTGATTTTGTCTAGAATTTTATTCTTTACTTTGTTAAGACTGTCGACATAATTTCAAACTTGACTTTTCAATAAAATAGTTTAAAACTTTAAACATAATAGCCAAGTAATACTGAAGACTTTACTTTATAACTTTCAAACAATAATTAACTAATATTTCAAAAATTACATCAATTTGCTGGTAAATATTTCAGCTTTTAAACATTGATTTTTAACCCGCCATTTTTTATTTAGAATTGCAAAACTAAAGTATTTGCGGATTTTTCTACTAGTATTGATTGATTTTTAATAAAAGCATGGACTAAATTTTTTAAATTTCGATGGGCCATAAATTACCACAAAAGATAATTGAGTTTATTGGATTAAAAAAATAATATTTCATTTTAAAAATATCCCTTAAATATACAAAGTGAATACTGCATGTAAATAAATCAGATATCTCTGCTCTCAACTAATTTAAATGATTTTGTATACAGTATGACCCATTACACAGTGGAATTGGAAGACGACATTCAAGTACCTTATGCGTATATTCTGTTGTTATCAAGCAAATATTAATACAAGTACCTTAAAAACCAACTATGAAATTTGTCTGTGTACACTGTGAAACTAATTTGCATCATTGGTCTATTTAAAAGAAATAACAAGAATCTATTAGTCGTCTTCCTATTCTACAGTTTCATGGTTACCATTGAATTATAGATGTTAGTGTGGAGAGGAGAGGGGGTTCCATCACAATATCCGACTAAATGTTTTTTCCCAAGGAAAAAAACTCCCATTTAAATTTGAATTAAATTTGGCTTTCAAGGAATTAACTGTGGACTCTCTTTCAACTTTAGATATATATAGACTCTATATCCTTGTAACCTGATGGTATAAACCTTGAATATTACAGACGTATACTGTCAAAACTAGCAGATATAACAGATGTATAATTTTCAAAAGTCTACGATATTAGGTTGCAATGATATAGGAATTATAAAATTTGAGTTTGAGACAAGTAATCCGTTATGTTGGAAAATATTTTACTTTTAACTTTTGGTGAGTTTTACATTTTCTGAAAAGAGGAGATGTCAAAACTTTGTTTTATAACTTGTACATACATGAAAATGATGTAACAAGAAATTATTTTTGAATTTCAAAAACGAAGATTAAATTAAATTAAATCTGTTTTCATATAATTAAAATCTGAAGGAAAAAATGAAAATGGAGTTTTTTTTTTATTTGTCAGAGTTTGGAGAGATTTATGGGATAACCCGACCAAAAATATTTCAATTAGGTAAATTAGAAAATTTCAAATGAGCTGAACCCGAGATTTAAAAGCCCGAACCCGAATTTTTAGTTAGGCAATTGAGTCTTATTTAAAGTAAGTTTTAAATCACAAGCTCAAAATTATTTGTTAACAATTATATTTCTACAGTATACTGGCAGAGAACTGGGAGCAGTCCGTTTAATAATTATATTTCTATAGTATACTGGCAAAGAACTGGGAGCAGTCTCTATAATAATTATATTTCTATAGTACACTGGCACAGAACTGGGAGCAGTCTCTATAATAATTATATTTGTGTAGTATACTGGCAGAGAACTGGGAGCAGTCCCTTTAATAATTATAGTTCTATAGTATACTGGCAGAGAACTGGGAGAAGTCCCTTTAATAATTATAGTTCTATAGTATACTGGCAGAGAACTGGGAGCAGTCCCTTTTATAATTATAGCTCTATAGTATACTGGCAGAGAACTGGGAGCAGTCCCTTTGATAATTATATTTCTATAGTATACTGGCAGAGAACTGGGAGTAGTCCCTTTAATGATTATAGTTCTATAGTATACTGGCAGAGAACTGGGAGCAGTCCCTTTAATAATCATGTTTCTATAATATACTGGCAGAGAACTGGGAGCAGTCCCTTTAATAATCATAGTTCTATAGTATACTGGCAGAGAACTAGGAGCAGTCCCTTTAATAATTATATTTCTACAGTATACTGGCATAGAACTGGGAGCAGTCCCTTTAATAATTATAGTTCTATAGTATACTGGAAGAGAACTGGGAGCAGTCCCTTTAATAATTATAGTGCTATAGTATACTGGCAGAGAACTGGGAGCAGTCTCGATAATAATTATATTTCTATAGTACACTGGCAGAGAACTGGGAGCAGTCTCTATAATAACTATATTTGTGTAGTATACTGGCAGAGAACTGGGAGAAGTCCCTTTACTAATTATAGTTCTATAGTATACTGGCAGAAACTGGGAGCAGTCCCTTTAATAATTATATTTCTATAGTATACTGGCAGAGAACTGGGAGCAGGCCCTTTAATAATTATAGTTCTATAGTATACTGGCAGAGAACTGGGATGCCCTAGGAAAATGTGTGTTGGAATTAGACGAAGCAAATGGTAAGATTTCGAATTTTAAAAATAGGAAAATTCCATGATATTAAATTGATATAAACTTATATGCTGAAAATCTGTTTTTTCAATACATATAACCTTTTTCTCCCCTTCAACTTGATCTTGAGGTTTAGTAAGTTTAGGAAGTAAATCCTTCTTGTTATAATACTCTACTAATTGAGGAACACTGGAAAACATTTTAAATTGAAAAAAATACAATTTTGAGGAATTTATTTTTGGCCTATTTGTCAGCCATATTTGTTCCAGTGGTTTTGCCAGCTATAGCCAACATATAAGTTTTTATGTATGAACGAAGATATTTTCACGGCAGAGCTAAGCAATTTATGGATATGTTTTAATGGTTCAGGTGCAATTTGTATAATCATATTTTCGAACATACAAACATTTTTTCAGATTAAGGTTGGTGGAATGTTTTTTGTGTTGGCTTTTAATTTATATGAGAGTTTTAATTTACATGAGAGTTTTAATTTACATGAGAGTTTTAATTTATATGAGAGTTTTAATTTATATGAGAGTTTTAATTTATATGAGAGTTTTAATGAGTCAAACTGTAATTAAATTCACAGATTGTTTGAATTTGACTTCAATTTCTACTTATTCTGTAATGATTATTTCATGTAAAAATAGCGGAAGATTTAGGAAACAACATTTAAAAACATCAAAACACGTAAAAAACATAAAACATATAAGAATTTATCTTCTATTTTAAATAGATTTCATGCAACATTTATCAGAAAAATTATCCAAAGTCATATTTAGACAAATTTTGTCCTTTTTTATTTCCGCTCTTTTTTCTCCTTTAACGATTTAAAAATTTTACAAATTTTGCCGTTTATTAACAGAACCATCTGTTTATTAACAGAACCATCTGTTTATTAACAGAACCATCTGTTTATTAACAGAACCATCTGTTTATTAACAGAACCGGCTGTTTATTAACAGAACCATCTGTTTATTAACAGAACCATCTGACATTTTTTAAATGTGATGTTCGACTACCCAACGTTGCACAGCTATGCTTTTTTTCCAAAAAAGTTTAAATGCATTTTTTCTTTATTTTGTTCAGGAATTCGTCCTTATGTAGTTCATGAGAAGAATAAGAAATGTTATGTTTGTCTTCAAGTTCAACAATTGCATCCAAATGTCCTCAGGTCACAATTTCATTTCAAGAAACTGATTTAAACCTGTTTAAAGAGACTGAAAGACTAATTCTCTACAAAAAGGGCAATGTCCGATTCTCAATGGTACCCTTAAACAGTATTGTCTGATCAAGTATGAATTAGATATTTTAGATCTTGATGTTTATCATTTAGTAAAGTGGTTTTTCTCAAACAGTGACTGCAGGAATACAGGTTTCAAGGGCACCATAGAGAATCGGGCATTGACATCTTTGCCACAAAGAGTTGAAATTATGTGTAAAAGAGTTGAACTGAATTTTTATAAGAGCTTAAAACTTGGAGTTTTAAATGAAATAGAAAAGAGAGAAGCAATTCAAATCATTAAAGTCAAATCAAATTGATTTTGTTTCATTAAATATTCAGTATCTCTTTGTTTTAAAAGTAAAGCCATAAAACTGTGGAAAGAAAGGCGACTTTTAAGAATCGTATATGTAATATACAGGGTTACCCACAAAGGATGAGACTTCAGAGACGATTGTGCGGAATTTTTTCATCGCCATTCAAGGTTACTTGTAAAACAAAACTGGCATATTTCTGTGCTTGTGAATTTAGTATACCCTCAAAATACTAAATTGAGTGCAGAAACCAAATATCAAGGTTATAAATATCTTTAGAGTTTTGGGTCGTCTTTGCAGTCTCATCAAATTATGGGTAACCCGGAATGTTTTCACAATTACTCATTATTTTGAATTGAAGATTCTCTGTAAATTTGACGTGCAGGTTTATGCGGCAGTCCATAATGGAGGAAATTTTCAGAGTTAAATTTTTTATAAATTATGTGTTCAATCCTTATAATATAAGTGAAATGGATCTGTGGCTTCACTTTATAATGTGTTTTAATGTTACTTGAAATAATTAAAAACAAAACTCAAGTCTAACAGTTGTATTCCATTCACACAGTTTCATCTCATAGAATCTATTGTAGTTAAACTTAAAAATATTTTAGGCTTAAATCTTCAGAATGTCGGAAAGAAAAAGAAGTAAACCGATTATGCTATGGAGAAATAACCCAACAGAAATGGAGGTATATAGAAATATACAAATAGTAATTTAACTAATCAACCCGGACTAACCACAGTTAGAAGCATTCGGTTTCTTCTATTTGAAATCATACTCGTTTTGGTCTATATTTTAACAAGTTACGGATTTGTTTGTTTTATACTTTTTATTCAAAATGTATATACCGACAAAAAATTTTTTCAGAAAGAAGACTGAAAAATTATGTTTATAGGAGAAATTGTGATCAAAAGTCATAGCTTTCTGGAATATTTACAGAACCATTAAATCCGCGTGTAATGGTACTGAATGTGCATTGTACATAGCTTTGAACAAGCTACAATACTGTACAATGTATTATGTGTAAAATTAGTACATGGAGTACTAAACATGTGTAATAATGTAATGAGGCAGAATTTTAGCAAATTTTAGATAAAACTATTTTTTGGTTAATTTCTTAACTGTATATGGTGGTAGGCGATAATACCAATATAGCAAAGACGACTTTTGTAATGAAGTTTTAATTGTTAACAAGCTTTTTTCGAATTACAAGTTAACAAATAATTAATGAGAAGCTTTTTTTTTAATTGACAGATTTTCTTTGTTTCCATGCTTTGGGTATCCTTGCTATTTAAAGCTTAATATAAATAAAAATTTATATCGAAAGCCGTCCTCATTATATTGATATTATCCCCTACCACTGTATAGGAAGACTTTTTGTTGCTGTTATTTTAGCTACCTTTACCGCCATGCAGCTCCTCAGAAACCATGTCCTGATCTATTGGAGGGTTCGCATGCTTTCTCTTATTCAGAATATGCTGGAATTTCAGACACATACATTCAGGTAATAATTACGCTTAAATTACGTACTTTGGTAAGAAGGTGTTACGCGACCAAGGGTCTCGTATATAGAAGAGGATAGTTCACCCCTGAGTACTGTTCCCTCATACTGCTGCAGCGCCCCTGAGATTCGTACTGTGTATTCAAGACCGGCCGAAGAAGAAAGCCGGGAGAAACTAGTTTTTTATTTTGTGTTTATATTCTCAGTATTCATACCACGCGGGTTTTAGACCAGTTGGTCGTTTGATTTCATGGCGTCATTTGCCAATGTTTTTTGATCATTTGTGATATTTTGTGGAGGCTCAACCTGGTATGATTTTCTTTTTTTACGATACATTTATTAAAATTATTTAGAATATATTAGAATCTACAGGTTTTTTATGCCCTATTGAGATAGTTTTGTGCATTGATTATATTTATTCTTTGATTGTATATTTTGTCTTGTTCTGAGGGCTTTTTCCTGTAGTGAAATATAAAAGAACTCAAGGTTATGTTTTTTAGTTGAATTTTCCTGCTGTTTCAATAAATCCTGAGTTCAACCTTGATTATTCATCATGAAGAGAGCGGATGAGAGTTACGACAAACCAACGCAAAATACCACAAGGTTCTTTTTACATATATAGCGCGTAGTCGCGTAACATTCAACAGGGATTTCCTCAAAGGGGTCGTTTAACCTTTTCTTTGAGATATTCTAAAATTTTTTTTCCCTCTTAAATCTCCTTGTATCTACCAGATTTATATTCGGAAAGATTACAAGGAGTAGTGAGGATTTGAGGCCTGAACTGTTCTTACTCCTTGATCCTTTTATGTCTGCCAGATCAATATCCGGAAAGATTATAAAAGGTGGCGGAGGTATCATTAAAGTTCAGTAAGATTTGAGATTGAGTTTTCTCCTTAATCTTTTTATGTCTGCCAGATCAATATCCGGAAAGATTATAAAAAGTAGCGGAGGTATCAGTAAAGTTTATTGAGATTGAGATCATTATCTTTAGAGGGGTCGATCAGCCTTTTCTTTTGATAAATTGAGATTTGAGGTCATTATCTTTAGAAGGGTCGGTCAACCCTTTCTTCTGATAAATTGAGATTTGAGATTGAATTTTCTCCTTGATCTTTTTATGTTTGCCAGATTAACATCCGGAAAGATTATAAAAAGTAGCGGAGACACAAATAAATTCATTGAGATTTGAGGTCATTATCTTTAGAGGGGTCGGTCAACCTTTTCTTTTGATAAATTGAAATTTGAGATTGAATTTTCTTCTTGATCCTTTTATATCTGCCAGACTAATAACCGGAAAGATTATAAAAGGTAGCGGAGACACAAATAAAATTCACTGAGTTTTGAGGTCAATACCTTTAAGGGGGTCAGTCTGTCCTTGATTTGAGATTTGAATTGTCTCCTCCTTGATCTTTTTATGTCTGCCAGATTCATACTCGGAAAGATTATAAAAAGTAGCGGAGGAACCAATTAAAGGTTAAGATAGAAACCATTAAATTTGGAGGAATTGCTCAACCCTTCTCTAGGTGGTACTAAAGATAAAGCTGAGATTTGGATCTATTTCTATCCTTGATCTTTTTATGTCTGCCAGATTTATTCCCGGAAAGATTATAAAAAGTAGCGGAAATAATAGTAGAGCTCTCTTTGGGGTAGGATATTGAAATTGTGAATCGACCCGGGCGGGAGAATGGCTGGGGTACGTCGGAGAAGGTCTACATCATTAGGGGAAGGGGATCAGCTGAGTAGTACTCTAAATTTACCTGAATCACGTCCAACGAGTAGATTCAACCCAGATAGATGCATGTCCACACCACAGATCAATACTACAGGGTTCATAGATGATAATTACTGGAGTAATAGGGGGGCACGTTTCGAACCCAGAGCTCGTACTAGATCCAGAGGGGGGTCCAATGCCATTGATAAAAAATTGAGAGACAATTTTATCCAAATTAGAGAGGAGATATTTGAATGGGGCCAGATTTCTAGTAATTATGGACAGTCTTTAGCGGCTATTAATGAGAAATATAAGGGATTTTACATTGAGATTGAGCGTAGGATTAATGAAACCATGTTAGCCAGGGGGGATTTTAATTTGGTTGCTGAGTATGAGAGCTTGAGGGATAAATTGAACACAGTCCGCAGGGTTGCTAGACAGTTAACTGAGGCCCGAGCTCTTCCAGACCCGTATAACCTGGATCAGGAGATCAATACCTACTCCCGGCCACCATTGATGACAAGAAGTCTCAATCAAGATCATGTATTTCAAGATGATCCGATGTCATTGGGAAGATCAATATCATCTACGCCACGTACAAGGAGAGAGGATGTTATAAGTTCTAATCTAAATGATAATCTGATAATGGCCCGTGGTCAAGAATTTGTGAGAATGAATTCTGAACCCGCCAGATCAAAGAGTCCCTGTAACAATGTGAACTCAAGTGAGCAGGATCAAGGAATGATTGGAGCAACCAGAGACGGAGTAAGGAGAGAAGACATAGGAGTAGTGAGTGGATCAGGATCCATGGAGATGGGCCCTGATCCCGCTAGCCTACCGATACCTGCCAATCAGTCAGAGGTGGGAGATAATGATCCCGGAGCACCCAGGATCAGGAACCCTCATATTGGATCAGAATCTTGGATGCAATCGATTACATCCGTACAAATTGCCATGGAGGAGAGGTTGGAGGAAGTACTACAGATCATCCAGGGTCTCCAGGTTAGAGAACCTGCGTTAAAAGGGATCCAAGAAGAATTAAAGTTACTGAGATCCAATGTTAACAGTATATCCCTAAGGATAGATAGAAGTGAGCAGGGACTAGACAGATTTGAAGGTGAACTTATCAGATTGGAAGCTACTATAGAGCAGAATATGTTGAAGGTTCAGGATTGGTTTGTGGAGATTTCTACTAGAACGCCGAGTTCTGAGGTACCTGAGGAAATCATCAATACTTTAAGGGAGGTGATAAATAATAGTTCCCCTGGGATAGTAGTTGAGGGGATGAGAACGGAGATGGAAGAGATGAGAGACTCCTTGGATCAGAACCGGTACACTACAGAAGGTTTAAGGACTGTAATAGTGGACTTATCAGATCAAGTGGCTAATGCTTCAATGAATAGTGCTGAATATAATCCTACTGTAGGATCTGGTGAGGGTACTGAGACAGACAGAAGAGAGAGAGAGATTGTGAGGAAGGGGATTGAGAGGACAGAGAAGCAGTTGAAGCAGATAATTCTGAATGATCTTGAAACTACCGGAATGGATATATCCCTCATAAAGAAGTTCAAGACGGTTGATGTGCCTGCTGTACATGTGGCTGTTGGAAATATGCAAAAATCTCTGCAAAAATATGTGAAGTTCTCTGGGATGGATCCTGAGTACTGTGAGGTGATAAATGAGCTATTGGACTCTGCTGAGAACTGGTGCTTGAAGGTGGAGGAATTATATAATAAAGCTGAAGTCCACAGCATTAACACTGCGAAGGGAGATGCTTCTGATGTGGGAGTGTTTTCTGATAATGCTAAAGTGACTGTGTATGAGTTTCTGGAGTCGGCTGAGATTGCGTATCTAGGATGGGGTAATTCAGTCCAGAAAGCAAATCGTTTGTTCAACCATCATTTATCAGAGGAGATAAAGAGTAAATTAATTAATATGTCAGATTCGTATGCTGAGATGAAGTCATGGCTAATAATTAATTATGGAGGAGTGTCAAGAATAGTGAGTGACATATTGAGGGATCTAGGTCGTAAGCCAAAACCGAATGCTAATAATAGTGGAGCTACGTTCAGTTTCTATGCGTACATATCTGGAGCTATTCAGAGGCTAGAGAGATTAGCGAAGGTTAGTGGGATAAATAAGGATGAATTAGAAACTTGTTTATATTCGAGGGCTACCTTAACTAGTTTGTCATTGATATTACCTAATTCTGTTCATGCGGACTGGATTACAGAGATGACGAGAGCGGGATTAGACTATAAAAATCCTGTAGGTATTGAAGCATACAAGATATTCAAGAATTTATGCATCATTGAGAGGAATAAGAGTGAAGGATCTAGGGATTTAGAGAAGCCGGTTAACGATACGAAACCTAGGTCTCCAAGGTCCCCCAGAGCAAATAAGCCCAGGTCAGTTCACAAGGCTGGAGAAGATAAACAATCGGAGGAGGAAAGAGAGGTTACAGCGTTTGCAACATCGTTTCACAATTCCAAATGGTACCAGGCTGGCCTGAAGTTTCCATGCCCAATCAGAAACCATCAGCATGAAGTATCAACATGTGCAGATTTTTTTGCACTCAATCCTGTGGAGAGGTGGAGCAAGATGGAGAAAGGGAAGATTTGTTACACTTGCATCAAACCGAAGGATCAGTGTAGTTCTAAGAAATGTGCATTGGAAGCCAAGATTCCTGAGACGCTGAAGTGTCAAGGTTGCGCACCGTGGGCTAAAGCAAATCAACTGGCACCCCTCAACATATTGTTTTGTCGTAAGAGAGAGCATGCTAATCTCAGAGCCCCATTCCAGGATATGAGAAAGGACTTGGAGAACTATTTGGGAAAGCTTGGAACCACAGTCGTTGATTCTTCCATCAAATTTGCGGCGAATTACACTTATCAAGTGTTTTCACTGGGTCCCGGAGTCAATGCGTTGGGTTGGGTTCAAGAGGAGTTTACTGACAAACCTGCTCCATCTATAGATTCTGAAACTGGGAAGAGTATCCAGGTATCGCCCGAGCTTATTGTCCCTGAGATTTCAGAGCACTCTTGCTATTTAATGCAAACTGTAAAAATTGGAGATTCCGAGGCCCTGATATTTTTTGATCGAGGTGCAAATATACACATCATAGACGGTTCCCTAGCTGAGAGAGAAGGATTACAGAAAGTCTCAAGCAGTCCAACTAGCCTGACAGTCGTAGGAGGAAACAGAGTTAGGTCCAACCATGGAACATTCAGGTTTAATCTAGGACCTGGAGACAAGGGAGAGTTCCACGAGGTAGTCTGTGTAGGGATGGATGATGTCACTGCGGGATTTGGATCTTACGATTTATCAGAGATATGCAATGAATATCGAGATCAAGCCAGAGATGAAGAGAAGGATGTAATTCTACCACCTAAGGTAGGCGGTTCCAAGGTTCATCTCTTACTAGGAATAAAGAACACCAGCTTGGATCCTGTACTGATGAAAATTCTACCATCAGGAGTTGCAGTTTATCTCAGTCCATTCAAGGATATTTATGGCTCCAGGCTGATTTTTGCTGGTCCGCACAGGTCTTTCACCAAAACAGATAATGGATTGAAGACGGATATGTCAAACGCAGTTTTCCTAATCAGACACCAAACCTATGAAGAGTTCGAGAGTGAATATGAAGACAGATGTTTTTCGATTATGACGGATAAAAGGTTAGGTCTGACGGTAAACCCCTACCCGATCAATGAAGAGGATATAATCGAATCTAATGGAATAGTGCCAGATCAATTTGAGGAATCTCTCGATGACCATGAGAAGCTGATTGAGATATTGGAGGATGATAATAATAGGTGCAGATTTCACTGTTCTAGTTCAACCCTGGAGAAGTTTAAATCCTTAGTACAAAGTAAGAACATTACCACACATGAGGTCTACCACAAGGAGAGATTGTGCGATTTCACCTCGGAGCTGTTTACTCCTGAGGGTGGTCCCAATGCTCAGCATGAGGTCAGGGAGGTTGAGGAGACGACTGTACGGATCCATGAAGGGATCGGGGATTCCAGAGAGGGGGTTTTAAAGCTAGATTTTTGGTATGGTGAAGATCTGAGTGATGATCCCAAAATGTGTTTATCTCCCAATAAGAGTGATTTCAATGGTCTGAATGGTCAGAATGACTGCGTTACTGAAAGGATAAAGAGTTTTATTCCTA